TAAACAACTCATTCACTCCCTTATTATCTCACGCCTAGACTACTGCAACTCCCTTCTCACCGGCCTACCTCATCACAGACTATCCCCGCTTCAGTCTATCCTGAACTCAGCGGCCAGACTCATCCACCTTACCAACCGCTCCTCTTCTGCCACCCCCCTCTGTCATTCCCTCCACTGGCTCCCGATTGCCCAACGCATTAAATTCAAACTACTAACATTGACATACAAAGCCATTCATAACGCTGCCCCAAACTACCTCACCAACCTGATACCCAAATACCACCCAACCCGTACTCTTCGCTCCTCACAAGACCTCCTACTTTCTAGCTCCCTGGTCTCCTCCTCCCACGCCCCGACTGCAGGACTTCTCCAGGACTTTCCCCATCCTCTGGAACCCACTAGCCCAATCCATCAGACTGTCACCTACCCTCCTCACCTATAGGCGCACCCTGAAAACCCATCTCTTCAGGGAAGCCTACCCTGCCCTCACCTAACAGCCGATCTCCTCCACTCCTCCTATCACTCCATCCCCCACAGCCACTTCCTCCTGTACCACTATCCCCTCCCTCCTAGATTGTAAGCTCAAAGAGCAGGGCCCTCAGACCCCTCGTGTATTGTTCTGTACTGTCCCCCACTATATTTTACAGCGCTGAGCAAACCTTTCTGGCGCTATATAAATACTGTATTATTATAATAATAATAATAACTGTCCCCATCAGAGTGCCCCCTCACATCAACTGTCCCCATTAGAGTGCCCCCTCACATCAACTGTCCTCATTAGAGTGCCCCCTCACATCAACTGTCCCCATCAGAGTGCCCCCTCACACATCAACTGTCCCCATCAGAGTGCCCCCTCACATCAACTGTCCCCATCAGAGTGCCCCCTCACATCAACTGTCCCCATCAGAGTGCCCCCTCGCATCAACTGTCCCCATCAGAGTGCCCCCTCGCATCAACTGTCCCCATCAGAGTGCCCCCTCACATCAACTGTCCCCATCAGAGTGCCCCCTCACATCAACTGTCCCCATCAGAGTGCCCCCTCACATCAACTGTCCCCATCAGAGTGCCCCCTCACATCAACTGTCCCCATCAGAGTGCCCCCTCACATCAACTGTCCCCAATAAGAGTCCCCATTACATCGATTGTCCCCATCAAGTCTCATGGATTAGTTGGATGCATTCTCAGAGATCTGGGGGGTGCAATTAAAATGTGGGGGGGAAGGCATAGCCCACCCCAGCACCCCCTTAGATCCGGGACTGAGCATTAGCCAAAGAAACCTTTGCATTATATTTTCAATATTATCTATAACTCTACCCAGATTCAGGACTTATTAAACATTTACAGAGTGCTGTTTTAAATGAGCACAGGCACTATTCATATACAGTTCAGTTTCCCGCTCTCACTAGTCTGAGCGTTACCACATGGCGTCGCATACGATGGCGCACGCTGACCTGTGTGATGGCAGCAGCTGTTTGCCATGTGACTGAAAGCTCTCTGTCCGAATAATTGATGTACTTTTATTCCTGCCACTTCCTGAAGTCTGATCAGAATTAAAATTGCTGGTGGTATTTCCTGCCGGAGAAACCTGCTCTGTGATTTGATTGGACATTGCCTTCAGCTATGCTCAGTGGCTGCAATATAGGTTCCCCTTTTACTGCACGGCACATCTGCCAGCGTACACAAATTATCCGTCATGGCGCTCAATAAAACTCATTAAAAAGCCACATGTAAAGACTTTATGTTTTGAAAAGAAAATCAGAACACCTGCTATTGTTCTGCTGCCTTTCACTTATGTGTACATGTATGTGTGTGTGTGTATAATATATATATATATATGTGTGTGTGTGTGTGTGTGTGTGTGTGTGTGTATGTATATATGTGTGTGTGTGTGTGTATGTATGTATATGTATTTGTATATATGTGTGTGTGTGTGTATATATATATATATATATATATATAATGTGTGTATGTATATATATCTGTATATATATATATATATATATATATATATATATATACACACACACACATACACACCCCGTGTATACAGAGAAAGAGAGAATGTTATGCTACTATGTCATTTAAAATTGATGCTCTTCCACTTATAGTCATCCATTAAAAAAGTAAAAAAAAAACCTATCATGAGTATATATAGAATTCCATAGCTTTTTTTTCTTCTAAAAATGTTAATTGCCAGGTTATTATTCTGGCTCTCTGGTTTCAAAACTTTCTGTATCACTGACCCCAAACAGCTACGCAGATCAGGAGTTCACAAGCTGCTTTCTTTTCCAGATGAGTTCAGTGATGGCAGCTTATCTATTGCTCTAAAAATGGACCCAGCATCAGATATATTTTTCCTGTGAAAGCAGATGGATTGCGGGATAAAATGTGATAGCTGAAGTAGAGAAGTGGCTTTAGCCCCGGTTCACATCTGTGCGGGTGGTGCCGCTGCGGATCCGCATGAAAATCCGTGCACCTGCACAGAGCAATGCGGACCCGCGGGCGGGTGCCATTAGTTCTAATGGCACGCCGCCCGCACTGGAAAACGCAACTGTACTGGGAACCGAGGTTCCTGTGCGGGATGCGTTTTCAGAAGAAGTGCAGAGACTTCTTCCCTGCGTGTCATGGGGCACGGGAGTCCATTCAAATGAATGGGCTCTCGCGCCTGCGGAAAATGCGGCCCACACAGCCACATATACAGTATGTGAACCAGGGGTAAGGACCGGTTCATACCATAGAATCGTAGTCCAGATGCATTCCGGATGCGTATCTGCATGTGCATTTTTTACGCCTTCCGGTGCGTTTTTTTATGCATTTTTGCCGCGTTCCGATACAGTTTTGATGCTTTCTGGTCCATTTTTTCCCCTCTTTTTCTTAAATTTAAATAGAGATGTGTGTGTTCCAGTGCGTTTTTGGTGAGTTCCAGTGCATTTTTGATGCAGTTTCCAGTACAGTTCTGTGCAGGAAAAATGCAGCCTGTTCCAATTTTTTCCTGAAACTGGAATGCACTGGAACTGAAAGCACTGATGTGAACTATGACACTGACAACCATATAACCTATGTTCTCAGTGTTTTGGATGCGGAAAAAAGCAACTGAACGCATGTGAACTGGCCCTAATTGAAGTGACCATATATGCATGACCTTTCATAAGGTCGTGATGACAAAACGCGTCAAAAGGTGACGTCAGACATTGCCGGAAGTGTAGCGGTGGCCATTTTGGATGAGGTCCGGTCTTAGGATACCTAGTGTGATGGAGATCCGGTTTGAGGAACACACAAACACCGATGTTTACATATGTAAGCGATTTTTTTTATTAATAAAGAGCTTTTAAAGTTGGAACACGATGATTGCTTATTCTTTTTCGGGGCATATACTATCATTGTCGTTGGAGCATTGAAAGCCACAGTGTTTGGATCAGGAGTCTATTTGATCATGGCCTCTGTTCCCTGTCATCCTGGTAAGGTTCATGGATTGACAGGTGTTGGATCACTCGCTTGTTTCACTGTTTGGTGATCACTGGTGTGGAGTGTTGAAGCACTGATTCCCATGATATGATGATTATGTGTTGACAATATTACACTGTATTTGATTTATATTTCTTGGAGGGTCTGGTTTTATTGGGAAGAATTTTTGAAGAAGGATCTTACTAGTCAAGAATTTATGCAAAGCAAGTTATTCATCTGATGAGGGTAAGGGCTCATGTACACGGGACGTTTGGAAAACACTTCTGAATGATGGTAACTGAGTGCTGGAAAACGTAGGTTAAAAAAGTCTGTTTATCTGCGTTTGCATACTGCGTTTATGCGCGTTTGTGTTTAGAAGCGTTTTTTAAAGATAAAATCAGGAGACCTTCCATAATGCACTGAAAAACGGTAAAAAATTAACTATTTCAGACATTTTGAGAGAAATAGAGAGAGCAGAAGCAGAGAGAGCAGTATGTGTGGAGATCAGGGGCAGACTGACCATTTGGAAACTCGGGCACTGGGTCAGTAGGGGGCCCCATGAGATGCCCCTGGTACCTTTTTCATAGGCTTTTTTGAGTTTGGGCAAGGACACAGGGGCCCCATGATCCCCTATTGCCCGGGAGCCCCATGAGTTGTCAGTTCGCCCCTGACTGTATGTATAAGGTACCCCTACAATTTAATAACAGTTTCACTTTGGGGGCTGCACTGTTAGATTATTTTCTGTAAAGAAGTTCTGAAATAAGGTTATAGTAAAAAAAAATAAGTTCTAAAGAATATTGATAAAGCTTGTTTCGGATGTGGAGCCAAAACAGGCACTAAATTGTACAAATACAATCTATATCCCCCATGAGATGCCCCTGGTACCTTTTTCATAGGCTTTTTTGAGTTTGGCCAAGGACACAGGGGCCCCATGATCCCCTATTGCCCCGGGGGGGCCCCATGATTTGTCAGTCCGCCCCTGGTGGAGATGACCTGTCTTTTCTGGTTGTATTCACTATGGATCCCATCATGAGCATAATGCAGAACGTTCTACCATTTATTCCTTCACGCAAAACCTGGAACTGACTCCGCTGGTGTACCGGGTCCATTTGAATACATGGAAAAATCTTGTATTTGTGATGATGAAAAAAGGCTCTGGACATGGAACAGTTTAAAAAACGTTCTAAATGCAAACGCTTATAAGCCGCATTTACAAGCATTTGGTGTTTGAAAGGCTGATAAAATCTACGCCTGAACGCAAGTTTGGTGCATTCAAAAAACGACTGTAAACTCAACTGCCTGTAAACGACGATGTGTACACGGACACATAGGAAAACATTAGGGAGAGTTCAGGGGCTGCTGAAGAAAACGCAGAACAGCTCCTGAACGTCAGTTAATCAGCTGCAGTGTACATGAACCTAAGAGTAGGAATTCCAGTCCCTGGAAGGACACTTGGTTATTTGGAGCACGTTTTGAACACTATGATGTGAGCGCACTATAATTTGTCTTAGTTCTGTATTAAGGGTAATGCACTATGTGTAGTTTATCTCTTTGAGGTGAAAAGAGGAAGAGGAGGAATTTTCTTTGAAGAATATTGAAAGTTACTAAGAAGCATGAAGATTTCATTAGTTTATATGGGAATATATTGAGACTTTGCTGGACGCTATTGAACATATTTTCATATATGCACACTTGTAAAAACAAGAAAAGTTGGACAAAATCACATTTTGTGAGCATTTTTTTTTTTCAGGTTTTCAGTAATAAGATTCCTAAGTTTAATCACAATGTACTATTTATCCAAGATGATCTATTAAACTTTCAAGAGACTGGATGTGGACAATATCAAATGTAACTTAAAATGGTATTAAACCCAAAAGTGAACATATATTATATTGAAGCTTACCAATTCTTACATGTGAGGGATGCATCACATTTATTTTTCAGGCTTTCTTTTTTCTGTTTTTTATCTGGTGATCTGGCCAGTAAGTCTGTTGTTTTTCAACACAAGAAGCTGTCCTGCAGATGTAGCAGTTAGAGAGTTGAGACAAATGATTTACCATTGACAGGGGTGCTTACAATGATCGACTTTTATTTATTTATGTAAAAACGGTTTGCTGTAACTTTTTATAAAGTGTGAGCTGCAATTTGGCTTCAATTTGTTAGCATACCTAAATCTACTAGTACATCTCAGGCTACTTTCACACTGAAAAAAACGCATAGACATTTTTGCTGTGTTTTTTAAAGGACACGTGATTTTAAATTGCACCAAAAACGCTTCTCAGAGGCAGTTTTTTAAGCCGGTTTCCATTGATTTCAATGGGAAGAGGCGTTTTTTTTTGGGGAATTTTTTAAACGCCCCAAAGATGCTGCAAGCAGAATTTTTTACACCGCACCACAAGCATAACGCCTCAGGGTGAAAACATACATAGATATACATTCACATACATAGGGAAGCAGTTTTCTTGCGCTTTTCAGGTGCTTTTTTTAACGCCAAACCCTTGAAATACTCCTCAGTGTGAAAGTAGCTTAACACTCCCCTCCCCCCAGACTGACAATACTTCTGTCAAAAGCTGTCTCCTGTGCTCCTTCATCCAGAGTGAAGGCACTCTAATACAGGAGCTGTGCTATAGGCCAGATCACCAGGTGAACACCAGGAAACCCCTCATCTCAGGACATTGTATTCTATAGCTCAGTATTTTCTCAACCTTTTTTCATCCTTTAAAATTCTGCACAATCTGGAGGTATCCCATTCTAAACTGTAAGCCTGGGTTCACATATTGCGGCGCGGTATATCGCATGTGATTTGCACAGGAACCGCACCGCATTCCTACGTAAATCACATGCGATTTGTGTGCGGTGCGGTTGGAGCCGTGCATTTTGTATGGTTCTAATCGCATCGCACCAGAAACGCGCAGAACCCTTTTTTGGGTCCGCACTGGAATCGGATCGAATAGGTATTCACACCTATGCGATCCGATTCTGCACATCGCACCGCGTTTTGCAGACTGCTTTTGGGGTGTTGTTAACATACACACCCGTAGCGGTTCGCATGAACGAGGTGCGATTCTGATGCGGTGTGGAATTTGCGCTGAAAACGCTGCGAATTCCGTACCGCATCAGTGTGAACCCGGGCTAAAAATCGAAACTAATAGTTTTACATAATGCAGCAGCATCCTCCCTCCTCTACACCTCCTCCCTCGGCAAACTGATACACTCCCACGGCTTCAACTATCACCTCTACACCGATGACACGCAAATTTACCTCTCCACCCCTCGCCTCACCCCTTCAGTCTCTGCCCGTATCGCCCACCTACTGAACGACATATCAGACTGGATGTCGCTCCATTTCCTCAAATTGAACCTTTCCAAAACCGAGCTCCTGATTTTCCCCCCAGCCTGTGCCCCCTCTCCCCCCCACCCTCTCCATCATGACCAACAATGCCACCATCAGTCCCACCCCGCAAGCCAAAGTCCTAGTTGTCACTCTAGACTCAAACCTGTCCTTCCAACCCCATGCCCAATCGCTGGCAAACTCATGCAGGCTCCACCTCCGCAACATCTCCAAAATACGTTCGTTCCTAACCCCAGACACTACTAAACAACTCATGACTAGAGCACCAGAGATAGGTCATCCAAATCCCCCCCCCCCCTTACTATACTTAAATAAAAACCATGACACCAATTTTGGAGTAAATGGCCAACATGGCCTTTTATTAACAAACATTTTAACACCAACCATTCCTTATAACAGAAACATACAGAGTTGTTGTTGTTGGTCTTCGAAGGCACCCCACAAAAAATGATCTGAAATGCACCTGCGGACAACCATATTACACAAAGGCCTCCAGCCGCAACCAACCAGCTCGGAGACAACCATACCGTCCGCAGTGCAGCACCACCACCTTCCAGTTAAACCTTGGTTAACTGGAATGTCCCCGGGCACACCATACCACCGATGGGTCCCGCACCATTATCTGTACCTCCAAGATAAGAACCGCCTCCAAGACCAACAACCGCCCAAGACCTAAATAACCCCCTGTTCCCCCGAGAGGAACACAATACGCCTTATAACATGGGAGGGCGGGAGGGAATCTCACTCACCACGTCCAGCTCCGAATGATGCCTCCCCCCCCCGGGAAACCCCACCCTAAGGTGCAGCAGAGCCCACCCACGCTCTCTCTCCACCAACCAGCACCCCCAGCTATACTTTTCCACACCCCCTGGCACATCATTAACCCTTTCTATTCTCCTTCCCACTCTAGGCCTAGTCATGCCTGCCCTGCGCTAATTTTCCTTTCCTTTTTTCGCTACGGGCATTACTTTCCCCTTCTTATTATCTCACGTCTGGACTACTGCAACTCCCTTCAGTCTATCCTGAACTCAGCGGCCAGACTCATCCACCTTACCAACCGCTCCGCTTCTGCCACCCCTCTCTGTCATTCCCTCCACTGGCTCCCGATTGCCCAACGCATTAAATTCAAACTAATAACACTGACATACAAAGCCATTCATAACGCTGCCCCAAACTACCTCACCGACCTGATACCCAAATACCACCCAACCCGTAATCTTCGCTCCTCACAAGACCTCCTACTTTCTAGCTCCCTGGTCTCCACCTCCCACGCCCGACTGCAGGACTTCTCCAGGACTTCCCCCATGCTCTGGAACTCACTACCCCAATCCATCAGACTGTCACCTACCCTCCTCACCTTTAGGCACACCCTGAAAACCCATCTCTTCAGGGAAGCCTACCCCGCTCTCACCTAACAGCCGATCTCCTCCTACCACTCCATCCCCCTCAGCCACTTCCTCCTGTACCACTATCCCCTCCCTCGAAATAGCAGGGCCCTCGAACCCCTCGTGTATTGTATTGGTATTGTTCTGTCTCATATACTGTCCCCCACTATAATGTACAGCGCTATACAACCTTTTAGCGCTATATAAATACTGTATAATAATAATAACACACAAAGAATACCCAACATTAGAAGTGATTTATTCTTCCAGAGAAAAACACACCTTTACATACGGGTACAGACTAGTACACCAATGTTTCTCTTCTCCCTCAGTTTCTCTCCCTCATTCAGCTAATGTCACCCCAATGCTGACCGGGGGGGGGGGGGGGCAGAAGAGGAGCAAACAAGGATGCTGTGCAGACACCTGACGTCAATCTTATCAACTAAAGATGTCATTGGTTACTACGACACTACTACTACTTTGTGTAAATAAAAGGCAGGCTTCATCCACCCGCTGCGTTTTTATGATTTGTTGGGCAACTTTTGGACATTCTGCCAAGGCACTTCTGAAGAAAGCAGAAGCCCCCTCAGGGTGTCTGGGCACCCTGGTTGAAAAAGACTGCTATAGATTTGGCTTTCAAGGACGGCTTTTTATTCGTAAGTGGTGAAGATTTTTGAAAAATGATACTGTAGCAATATTTTATGACTTGTCAGGAATCTATACATGCAATAAATAGACTGACATCACTGCCCTTCTATTGAAAAAAACTAGTTGCCTGGCTCTCCTCTTGACACGTTGACGTCATTAGTTACTGAATTTGCTAACCTAAACATTTCACCTTCCCAACTGACATTTTCACCCATGCTGAAAATTCACATAAATCTTCTGTTTTTCACTATAATTCTAAGAACATTGTGTGCGTCCCTACATAAGGAATACCAGAGAATGTCTGTAGAGTACTTCATTTTAAGGCTGGCCATACACTATACAATTTTCTGTCCAATTTTTGCCCAATTTCCTTTAGATTTACCTTCAACTATGTAGTGCAAGAGCCTGCCTAATTGGATACAGTCGAAAGTGCTGTTAGGTTTGGCCTCCTATTATATATAGTTTTTGGTAAATCTAAACCAAAAATCTCAAGAAAATTGTATAATGTATGGCCAGCCTAAAGGTGGGAATACACAATTAGAAAATCAACTGATCGGTCATCCGACGACTGAGAGGCGTTCGTTGGTTGGTCGAAATCGTGGCCCACATTAACCAATCTAAAAAAATAATTCATCGGGCAATACGTAGTGTTGATGTCTTCCGTACAAGTGGAAGTGATGCAGTGTGCGTGTGACCTTGTAGCCACGCCCTTCCGGCCAGAATGAGCGATATACACAACAATGACCAGCAATGAGTATAATATCATTTAAATGGAGTAAAATAAAGCATAAAAAATGTCCCCAATATAAAACTATAAATTAGTGACAGTCTATATGGTGAAGATATCGTGGTATAAAACTTCAATCCAGTGGTGGTGCTCCCAGTGGTAAGGTAAGAATTACGCACTCACCAGAAGCGTAATTTAATTACGCAGTGTGTAAATCAACAAGGATGCCCTTCACAGGTATAGGTCCGGACTGGAACTCAGGGTGATTCTCCCTCAAGATTTTAAGGATGAAAGCCCTCAGAGGATGTGGATAGATCCAGCTGACCAGAGGTCCCTTTAAGGGACTGGTGGGTACAGATGCCTGTTTACAGGTGCTTCCCTCTCTGGATATGATGGACTGGTAACTGGATCGCAGCAGGGCTCTATAAATGATATAACTCTGTGCTCCGGGGCGCTGCAGATGACATCAGTCAGGG